CAAGGGAGAGGGAGTACGATGGGCTCAGGGCACTGGTTTGCAGTGTGTGGGTGGTGCAGGAGTGTTGTGGATCAAGACTCGGGATATGGGGATTTGCAGAAGTTTGGGGATGTGAGGGCTCAGGGCAAGGGGTTCAGATGTACGATGGGCTCAGGGTTTGGGTCTGTGCGGAGTACAGGAGAGTGTTATGATGCTGCAACTAGATGGGGGATTGGCCCCAATTAGGGACTTGTTGGCCAGGCTTAATTTTTAAATAAATTATGTCCAACACAAAACCTTTCATCATTGTCTTTGTTTATGGGAGGGATGGGGAGCCTGTTTTGGGCCATCGACCCACAAAAAAAATCAGTTGGGCACCACACAAGTGAGATGTAAAAACACACCCCTTCAAAAAAAAAAAAACCCAAGCCTCACTGAGAGAGTCCTAATTGAGACACCTCACTCCCCTGGCACTCCAGCCCCCTGGGGAGAGGGTAGGTAGGAGATTCAAAGCCTTGGGTCAGATGAACTTTTCTGGGACTCCAGGGTTAGTGGATTTTGTAGGCCCTTCTACACTCTGAGGTGAGGCCAAAAATGAGGGATCCAGTGTGCAGGACAGGGCTGCCAGTGATTGGGATACGGGTGCAAAATTTGGGTGGAAAATAGGGCACAGGAGCAAACTGGAGGTCTGGTCAGTGACCAGGGTGCTGGTGGGGGTCTGGGCAGAAGCAGGGTGCTAGATCGTGTCTGGCAAGGGAACAGGGTGCTGATGGAGGTCCAGCCAAGTGGCAGGGGGGAGGGTACTGGTGGGGGTCTGGCCAGGGGGAGGGGAAAGGGGCAGCTTGGCCGGTACCTGGGAGTCTCCAGGGGCGAGGATCTCTGGGGCAGAATCTGTGGGTAGCGCTGGATGAAGCACGTGCGACTCCTTTAAAAAAAAAATCCAGATGCTCTGGATCCTGCACCGCTGTATTAAATACTACCCCCCTGGTTCTCAGGAGCACCGGGAAGGAAGGGAAGACAAGAAAGCACACACGTTGTTGTGAGTAGGGAGGAGCGTGCGCTGTCTTGTCTTCCCTTCCTTCCCTGTGCTGCCTGCCTTCCTGTGGAGTGGGGGGTGGGCCCTGCGGCAGTGTGCCAGTGCCCACGTCTCAGGAAGCATGCCCACTGTTGTGGAGAGGGGAGGAGCAGCATGTGCTTCCTGAGAAACCGGATCTGGCAGCCAGCCATGGGACTTTCCCCCCGCCGCAGGAAGCCAAAGCTAGCTCCATTTTTGTGGGAGGTTGTAGTGCCAGCATGGGCTCCTCGTTGGGGGTGGGCGGGCTGGGGACACCTCACAATCAACTGACTATGACTCCGTGAGCGACTGGTTGGTGATCACAGGCCTAGACGATCACCTATCCCGATCAGTGGCTACAGTGGTGTTCAGCACCAGCCATCCTCCCACCAGTGATGAAGACAATGACCAGACAGAATTAAGACTTTATTCTCAGAACACTAACAGTGGGAAAAATCATCAGATGCAGGGGAAACAGATTTTAAAACAGTTTACAGGTATAGGCTCCCCATCTGTTGACAGTAACCCAGTCAGTCCCAGCCGCTTCAGAAATCCCAGCAGTTGCCTGCCTCAGTCTGAAGAGCTCCCCGACAACTTCTCTCTACAGAAAGAGTTTTTAATCTCTCAGTTCCTTGGCTTTTGGCCCTGGTTGTCCAAGCAAATTTGGTAGGCTGTACAGGAAGCTGAGCAGGTATCCTCTGCGCTAATGGCTCTCCCACTTGTCCTGTAACAACCCTGAAGTGTTTGCAGGGTATACCCTCTTTTTCCTCACAGCCCACTATTAAAACTAAATATATTCATGCAGGAAATATCCTAATGATGATCAATATTCAGGAATTATTACAAAACAGCTCCATATTCATGAGTTAAGCCATGTGATTAATCTGCCTTTTGCTGCAAAAAAAATCAATGCATATACAATGATGGCTTGAAAAAGAAGAGTGTGCCAAAATGAACTATCACTGCTCATCAATTTAGCAGAAACAGGCAGCTAATGTGCTCATTCAACAATTCCCAGCTTTCCCTCTCAACTTTCCAAATCTCCCCAACCCAGATGCCAAAACCTCTACTTTCCACCTGGTAATTTCTATGTTGCAGCTATGTGATTTCAGTGCAAAAATCTGAAATACCTGAATGTGAGAGACAATGTAAAATTCATTAGATTTTGTATCAAAATTAACAAGAACTGCTGTACTGGTTGCGTTATTTGTTTACATAATGAAGACCTCAAGTTGCCCATGTTCAGCTTGATGCTGGCTGCAGCCAACATTTCAGTTTGTGGCACCAGAGGGCCACAGAATCCACTGACTTTGCCACCGCACTGAGGTGCAACTTGCCACAGAGTAAATGAGAACATGCTTACAGATCAGAGGAAATCCATATGAATATTAATTTAGTTTCTCTGTCTGATTGTGTGACAAATTCTGTTTTTAAAAAAGCCACAGACTTACTACAATGTGTAGCCAATTAGTATGCATCTTGGGGCAACATCCTTTCCTGGCTCTTGTAGATGGGAAGATCCTTTGCCCTAGCATATATTTGATTGGCAGGCATTATTAAAGAGAGGACAGTTGTGCTGGGGGATATGCTCATAGCTTAGATATGTCAACAGTGTAAATGAGCTGTTCTCCATTGTGTCAATCCCTCCAGTTATGTCCCACCTGCTGCCCTTCATTGGGTTTTTAAAGCTTTAAAAATTACAGCTATCACAGAGCATATGTGCAACTTACTACACATGGAAAATTATATGTTGTTCACTGGCCAGACTTCTTGCCTATATAAATGCTAGAATTTTTCAGATAAGTTTTTAGGGTGAACCTACAATGGGCAGTAGCTTTAGAGATCAGGTCAAAAGCTAATGTTTTATTTGGCTATTAGGGCAACTCCTCCCAACAAAGTTTTACATCCATCCAAGAAAAAAAAAATAATAATTTGTAGATGGTTTCTAGTACTGATGAGAAGGGAGCATTTCTCTGAATTGTGGGACATCAAATTCATAAAAATCCAGAAAAAAAAACAACAAATGGTCTGGTAGCACTTTATAGATTAACAAAACATGTAGATGGTATCATGAGCTTTCGTGTGCATAGCCCACTCCTTCAGATGACCGGAGTTATGAAAAGAGGATATGAAAATTCAAAATAAATAGGAGAAGAGAAGGGGAGGGGGGATTAGAGAAAGATGTTCTGTCTCCCACCCCCCTTCCTGTTTACTGGATAATGGGTGTTAGAATCTTGTCTATTGGTGAAGACATAGCCTGCACTTCTACTGGAGAAGCATGCTCTTGTCTTAAATTAGGAGAGCAGTGACCCTCCTCCCCCAAGGACTAGAAGATGGGAGGCACAGCCAGCAACCTCCTTAAGCCAGTAACTCAAGAGACAGTGCTGGGGACAGCAGCACATTGAGATAGGTCGGGGAAGAAGCATGTGTAGCAGAAGCAGTAGTAGAACAAGAATGGTAGATGTTGCAGAGAGGTGAAGGCAGGAGCACCCCACAGGAAAAAACACACACACACACACACCCACACCCACACACCCACACACACACACACACACACACACACACACACACACACACACACACACACACACACACACACACACACACACACACACACACACACACACCTAGCCAGAGCTCTCCAAAGGAGGAAGAGAACACCACTCCCCTTCACTAGGCAGAGACCCATTTTCCAGTAAACAGGAAGGCTGGGACCAGCTGGGAAGTGGTAGGATGGGACCTCCACTTGCTACACAGACCGAGAGACCAGACTTTCAGATATGTGTAGTAGTTCAGATTGGTTGCCCTTCCCCAGCTACCCCCCCCCTTTCCCTTCTCCTATTTATTTCGAGTTTTCATATCCCCTACTTATAACTCCGGTCATCTGAAGAAATGGGCTGTGCCCACGAAAGTTCATGATACCATCTACATGTTTTGTTAGTTTATAAAGTGCTACCAGCCCATTTGTTGATTTTTTCTGTAACAGACTAACTCAGCTACCCCCTGAAGCTCATAAAAATCCAGGTGTGTAATTAACATGATACAATTAGAGCTAAGTGAATAATGGATTTTTGGTCTGGTTTTTCTTCCAAGCAGGAAAATATTTTATTTATAAAATTTAATTTAAATAAAAAACAAATTTTCTTCTAAACTCAAAAAACTGTTTTGAATCCAGCAAAATGTTCCAGTAGACTCAAAAATCAAATGTTTTGTATTGTTTGTTACTGACAAAACTGGAAAACAAAATGTTTCAAAATGAAGAGAATTAAAATATGTTAACTTTGAGGGCAAAAATCCATTTTTCCCTAGTGGAATTTCTCTGCCCCCCCAAAAAAACTTGGCTCTCGTTATGATCCTGATAAGTATTAGCATCCTATGAAAATCAAACCACTTTATCAATTGCTTACATGATTGCTTCACATCTCAGGGCTCATCTATACATGTTAGGTAACTCACTTTACAGGAGTATCATTTCTGAAGTGCATTAATGAGTTACACATTAATTGTTCCATGTAGACCCTGCTGATACATTTTAACACAGTACTGTTTTAAGCAGTACTATGTTAGAGTGCACGAAGGAACCTTTAGTGGGCATCAGGATGTATGTAGAGAAGCTTGAATTTGAAAACAGTGGCCCTACTCTAATATGTTACCTTTACTGGTAAAGAAAAACGTATCCCCACCCTAACTCAATAGTAGACAAGCAATTTTCAAAAACATTTTTACGGGAAGATTTAAAACATCAATTTTAAAATGGTTACAAGACTAATATTCATGGGTTTTTTTACTATTCAAAGATCTACAGCAATGAAACATCATTAATGCAGTACTCTAATTTAGTTTGAACAAATTCAAGCTGAGAGGCCCTTGGCATTCATATCCAAACAAAACTATTAATATAAACCTAACATACACGTAAGCAGATTTTAAGTTTCGTATTTTATCAGAAATCATAATTAATACTTACGTGTTTGTTTCTATACTCAGACAATTGAGAGAGTCCAAAAACTGTTGCTATCGCACCTCCTCCAATGAGAGCCGTTCCTTTTACTATCTTACGAAATGCCATTTTTTACTCTATAAAAAAAAAGAAAAAAAAAGTAAAATTAACATGCTCATCCATGTTAGAGTTCAGACCATGTAGAACAAAGCACTTATTTTAACTACAATTGGTGCTGTAATCGTGTAAAGTTTGGGAGTAACAATATACTGTATTAAATGAATCATTCTGCTTGTAATATTCCTCAGACAGAAAGAAGATGAATGCAAAAATCCTTGAGAGGAGGGGGAAGGGGAGAGGGAGAGGGAGAGAATGAGTGAGTGAGTGAGTGAAGAAAGTGTAGCGAGAGAATATTTAAACACCCTCACTAATATAAAGACATAATGCTTATCTCAGCTGAAAGTAAATACTTCTATGCAGAAGCAGCTGCTTTTGCCATAGAATCTCAAGCACAGCTAAAACTTCCTACCACTAATGACAGGTGAATTCCAGCCCACAATTTAGACTCTTTGCAAATAAGCTGGCCCTTTTGAGGAAGGGAGGTCAAAGACCACCACTAGCTAGCTATCCTTCACCATTGTCCAGGTTCTTCTTACAACCCCACTTGTCCAATAAGACTACACTCTAATCTGTCACTGGGATGCAAATGAGGGATAGGGAGTGCAGGGCCAGGGAACCTCCTTGGCTATAGGTTATCACAAATTAATGGTCTCTCCAGACTCTGGCAGGGAATGAGGAAGGTGTCCTCTTCCTAGGACTCTAGCTTAGGGATGTAAGCAAGTAGGTGAGTCAAGTACTCGACTACTCGCTCCCCCTCCCCTCCTTGCTGCATCTGTATCTGAAAGAGGCAGCAGCAGTGGGGAAGAAGAGTAAGGGAGGCTGCCACAAAGCAGCCTCTGTGGGTCCCAGAGCTACCCCACTGCGGCTCTGGCTCTTACTACATTTAAAAGGCAGAGCCACAGTGGTCCAAGAGCTGGCACGAGCCAGGACTATCAGATAGAGGCAAGGGGGGGAGGGGAGAAGAGAGGGTACTTCAAAGCAGCAGCGACGCTTGAAGTCTGGGGCCAGACCCCAGGCTGCACACAGCGCTGCCGCTTTCAAAATCTGCGTGCAGCCCAGGGACAGCTGGGATGTCCCCAGGCTGCACATGGTGTTTTAAAGCAGCAGCAGCAGCAGCACGTGGAGCCCAGGATCAGCTGGGGACTCCGCAGCTAACCGGGCTCTGCGCAGCGTAGCTGTTTTGAAATGCCATGGGAGAGCCCAGCATCGGGATGCGCGTGGCATTTCAAAGTGGCAGCACCGCGTGGAGCCCGGTCTCAGCTGGGTACTCCCCAGTTGACCCCGAGCTCCACATGGTGTTTTTGCCTTTCAAGTGTAGCAACAGCTGTTGGCTGTTGCTACACTTCAAAGGGAGAGGCACCCTATCGATAATCGAATAGTCAATGTATTTTGCATTGACTATTCAATTAGTCAATTACCTGATACTCAACTTCCTTACAAGTGAGACTAAAACAGTAGCTAGAAGTTATTCAAAATTGTTTGGATAGGAAAGTGGCTTTTGTCCATGACCCTCACATTAAAGAGAACTGACTCCATGGTGAGATTTGGAATAGTAAAAAGTTTAAAGCACTGCATGAAATCACAATTTTCTGACCTTTTAGGAAGTAGGGTAGAGCACAGTGAATGGCAGAATAATCTAGTTAGAGAAAGAAAAAAAGATATAGTACTATAGATATTATGATCTCAATGCCTGTTCTCTTAAATTAAGTATATGTTACTGCTTTAATAATGTAGAAATTTATTGTCAAGCACCTGCAAGAAATAATCCCGAGTGACAGAAGAGCGTGATTCGTATAATCCTATAAATATTAGACTAAACATCCAAAAATAATGTACAACTCTATATACTTGATTATTTCCTATCTGCTAGATGAAAGCACTCCAGTCTCTCCAACAGTATGGAAGGACACCATACAGATGTTTTAAAGACATGTTGAATAAAATCACTCTGTTCCAAATCACCATCACTCCTAATTCAAATAGATCAGTTTGATATATTAAACTGAGGACACAAGGTCAGAAAGCCATTTTTAAACAAGCATGTTCCAATTATATCAAACATCTGGATATATAGTATGAACGAGAATATCATTCTCTCAACAGTACAAAGAAACGTAAAGAGAAACAGCAAAGCTAAGATTAGAAACAAAAAAGAAATGTATTTGATTGTTGCCCTCTAAGGTGGGCCTATATGGATTGGACACCCAGGAGTTCGGAAGAAAAGTCATCAACAAGTCATCAACAAGGTTCCTCTGCAGCATGCATATCTGTAGAAGTTTAATTTCATTGTACAGGTTGGGTCCCTATAAAAGCACTTACTGAAAATCAGGCCTTTTTAAGGTTGGGCATCTGAAAAACTAAGGCACTCAAAATCATTAGACTCTTTTAAAAAAACACCTTGTTTCAAATTATTTACTAAGTGCACGTCAAATTATTTGTAGTTTGTTTCCCTGACCCCATTTCAACAATAGCAGGATAATTTCATTATACATTTGGGATAAAACAATATGGAAAATGTTTCGATGAAAAACATAGGGACACTTCTTTCTACTTAAAAGACCAGAGGGAAGGGTTAGGCAGCAGACAGCCCAAAGAAAATTTTCCAAAAATGCTCTTGAAAGGGTTTCAAAAAACCTTCAGAGCACTGCTCAGAGCTTCAGTCTCAATAATCTGGGAGTCCAATTTGGACACTGCTGTCAAAGTCCGTGATATTTTAATCCAGTTCTAGACACATACCTACAAGTTAGATTTTCTTAGCCAAGTAAACTCAAGAGGGTATCTGTACTCAAATTACTTTGAGGTAGGCTAGTTTGAATATGAATTCTTTTGCAGTGAATTGTGGGAGAGCTTATCTGTCCTTTCTGGGTACATGGTAGGAAATGAGTGATGGTACTCCTCCAATGCCTTCCCACAAGCAGAGCTAGTCTGCATTCATACTACAGAAGAGTCATCTTCACAACTGATAAATTGTACTAACTTCAACATAGCCTCTACCCCTTGATGGGCCAAGCTACTGGAGTTAAAAACACCACTCTACTCAAAGCTAGGAAAAAACACTAAATATGTACTCTAAGCCTTGCCATGAAGACATCTTCATAGATTCCATAAGAGTTTTTACACATCAGAGATAAATAAACCTCTAACAAAGCATCATCTCTATATTACATGAATCCATTAGTAACAGTCTAGCTCATAACATTGTCAGTGTGAAAAAAAGCAAATGGATAAGTTATTAGATCCATCCCTGAAAGGATGAAAAATAAAAAAAACAAGCAAAATATTCCTGAATGACTCAGGTACATTACTTCATCTGAACAGATTCTGCCTATAAGGTTTATGAATGAGCTTTACAACATACTTGTGGCACAAGCAAGAGGAAAAGTAAATCAGCAAGTTCATCTGTGTTCAAACACATACCAAAGCATGTGCCCTGATTTTACAGATTAATAATTTCCTGAACCACAGCCTGGAAATAAATGACTTATCATATAGCGATGTACAGACAAGCAGCAGATTTGCTTTTTAAAACTTCCATCAGCGATGTTGCCAACCTAGTGCAGTTAGTCTACCTCTTTTTCTTTCACTAAATTCACATGCACTTCCTCAATGGAGCTATGTAAAGAACAGATCTAGCTTTCTGTTTCACCACAGTGCAGGAGAGGAGGCACAGAAAACAGTAAAAGAAATATCCTTGATGCTATGAAATATCCTTGATGCTATGAAGATAGATGCAATAGATGAATCCAGATAAATAATATAAATACCTCAAAAACTTGCTGAAATCTTGAAGCCAGAAACCTCAAAAAGATTCTGTTCCACATTCAAATCACCTCATTTTCTCCAATCTGAACTATCCAATTAAACAAAAGAAGTCCTTGAAATCCTTTCTTGTGTTTTACTGCAATACAATTGTCTCCACTAGCAGACACACCACCTTACTTGATTTACTATTCCCGTCACGGTTTTTGTAAAGTCAGCAAGAATACCCATTATAAACCTAATATCTTATTTTCATAGCTGTTTCAAAATGTGACTACAGTAAGTCCCCGGGTTACGTCAATCCGACGTAAGTCAGACCCCTAGTTACAAACGGGGAGGGGCGCAGCTAGTGCGGGGTGCCTCCCCCACTGTCGCCGCCTCCGGCAGCGCGGGGGGTGCTTCCCCCCAGCAGACCAGGGAGACGTGGAGCTAGCGCCTCCCCCTCCCCCCCAGCAGACCAGGGGGCCCGGAGCAGCTTTTCTCGCCGTGGAGGACGCAGGCGGCAGGACCGCCGAGATGCGCCGCGGTCCCGCCGCCCGCGTCCTCCGCAGCGAGAAAAGCCGCTCTGCGTCTCCCTGGTCTGCTGGGGGGGGGGGGCACACTCTGCCCCGGGCTTCCTGGGGGGGTCAGCAGCAGGTGACTTGGGGACACCTGGGGTAATGTAGCTGGGGTGCTGCCGGGTCGGTCCCCGCAGTGCCGAGGTGCGAGGACCTACCCAGCAGAGCCCCAGCTGCT